AACAATTGCCTCAAAATTTCTCGCAATAGTTCAGCGAATACCACACTTCTCGGAAGAATGACGAAAAATAGCATAGCGAATGCTGGCCTACTACATAAATATTTTTATTATTAATGCCGTAGTGGGTATCAAGCAAGTGTGCTTGCAGCAGTTACCCAATGAGTGTTTAGAAAATTCTCTGAAAGGCCGCTCTTCTAGCTTTCGCTGTGACTGTGCTGTGCCTTGCGCGTGCCTGGTGTTTTTTTTTTTTTGTAGAATATACTTTCCTTGACTCCTAGCAACAGCTCTCTATTGAATAGCTGGCGTAAATTTCTGGCAATTATTACAGCTCAACACTGTCGGATTAGCAAAGCTAACACCTTGATTTAATGTTTAATTTGCAAAGGTTCTTCCGATTACAGAACTTTGATGTTGCTGTAGCATAACCATCAGGGGCACAGACTACTGTAAAGCTCACCAGCCCAGGGAATTTTCCCCATAGCACACGCACATTGCTTTGCACAAAGGTCTTTGAAAATCAATACGTTGCTTAAATGGGAATTAAACTTGATTCTGAAAGTTGAGTGGCTGGACTAAATAATAGAAAATGCTGGGTGCACGAGAAACAAATTCAACATGCCAAAATTGATTATGCAAAGCATTGGTTTCCAGTGACTGGTGATTGATTTGAATAAGCGTCGTAACGAAAGGGTTAAGTGCATCACCTCTACACTGCACAGGCCGTCTTGTAGGTGGACAAAGACTGTCCTTGAAATCGAGATGATGGCCCTTGAAGTTTTATTTGCTCCTGCTAATTTAATTCGCTGGTGTTTGGCGATTTTCATGCAAATAGCAAGCTAAGCTCAGTGTACTTTTCTCAAGTTTATATTTATCTGCTGTCAAGTGCGTTGGAAGCTTTCATTGTTTTGTTTGTGAGTAGTGCATGCCTTATGAAAACTCTATTGGAAATCAGCATTAGTAGCAAAGACGTTTTGCATTATAGTTTTTAGGTGCGCATTTCGAAGCTAATACTCTCAGTCATAACCACTGCATAGATGTCTCTTGAGCACTTGAGCTACATAGTTATATGGACATGTATGTTAATTGGTCACTTACAGCTGCAGTCTGTGTTCTTACTGGTGATTATAAAACCAAAATAGTGCTTTTATTCCTACTGCATTGTCTTTGACAAATACATAAAGCATAATATACTTTGCTGTTGGGCTGATTGGTAACTCATTATGATGTTGTAATTAGGCACAACTTAACACTCCCTTATTCATGTACACATCCACACAGCTTATATCAAGATCACACCTTAAAAACTGCACTAAATACTAACTGTTTACTGTACATATTTGAACCCATATATACAGTCACGCTCTCTAAAGACAAACCTAAGCATAATGCAGCATCTATTCGTTGTACTGGTAAACCTGGATATAACGAAATTGACAAATTCCTGAAAAAATTTATTATTTAGAGGATTTTGTTATATGCAGGTTTAGTACAAAAAAATGCACAAATTAAACCAATGGGAAACTGAAGGCAGAGTAAACTCAGAACACCTATTTAGCGATAAAAAAAACTGCGTTATTTTTGCAGCAGCAACTGTATGGACACTATCGGCAGGTTTCTGCTGTTGCCACCATGTTCTCTAACAAGTCCAAACTGATTACATGCCCTCGTGTATCGTAACTTTTACTAGCGAGTGAAAGTGCGGGAGCGCTGATGAAGCAGAGATCGAATGAGCCGGCCCATCTCTATCGCCTGAAGGGCGCATCCCCCACGTGTTATAAGTGCCATCAAATGTTCAAACAGAAAGGAAACCACCAGTCTTGATTGAGCATAAAAAAAAAAACACGAGGGGGGAGGGTCGCTCGAGTAGCAATGGTGAACTTTGATTTTTAAGGGCATTGGAGCGCGCGCTATCTCAGCAAACATCAGCTCACTTTCAGCGCGAAAATCCTGTGTGAAAAGAGCATTTCTCCCTGAATCGGCCGTGTTTGCTTACACCAGTGTTTTATGGGAGTTCCGCTGATATAGGATTCAAAGGAGTTGGCTGCCAGCCTTACTTTGTATAAAATTACAATTTGTGTCTGTTGCATTCATTGCATTGCATTCAACGCACTGTTGATTGTGTTGTTGCCAGAGCTAATCACAAAGGTTACGGTCCCACGAACTCACGTTGCAGCGCAGGAGGGAAGGGCGGGAGGAGTCGACCTCCGAAGAGCCGTCATCACCGTGGTCTCGAAGAGTTTCCATCAGTGCCTAATTCAACAACCCCTTGAGCTCTAGCTCTCACCTGAAAGTCATCGGGGCCACGAGCGCGCTGTGTACACCACTGTCGCTTTGCACTTGGTTGGCGGAAGATGCATGCTCACACCAAAATTACAAAATCTGGGAAAAATTTCTCGATTGTTTGTGGCGAAAATTCGTTATATCAAGGTTGTATCTCGCAGTTTCTATGTTACATAGAGGTCCCAAATACATGTGCTTTTATGGAGTAATGCTGGGTAATAGAAAAGCTTAGTTGTATTGAGGAATTCGTTATAAGCAGGTTTATCTGTATGCTATATTCGTAGTTCGTAGTAAATGAAACAGCTTTAAAAAGTTGCAAGCAAAAACAAAAATCTTTTGTTTTTGCAAGTTCGTGATACATATATTTCGACAGTGCTGAAGTAATAAGGTTGGTCTTAAGCTTATTTGAAGCAGCAGCATGTTTTTCACCAGGGTCCTTGGCATAGACAAGCCACCTGGGACTCTCTATGTACCCAATTACTACAGGCACGTTTGTGCACAATGTCTCCAAAGTTTTGTCGTGGTTACTGTCATCGGATTCCTCCAAATTGCCTTTGCTGTGTGCTTAATTCGCAATGTCCTCATTCTTTTGGAGGATACCTGGGGTGGGTATGTGCCACTGGTATGCGGGTATGTGCCACAGGTAATAGACATTTTATATCTACCCAGGAATGGCGAGAACACACATGGACTACTTTAACGCTTGAGAGTTAAGAAAAAGCTGCCATAAGTAGCTTTGACCGGATGAATGCGAACAGTAATTGGGAGCGTCCCACCAGGAATCGAACCCAAGCATTTTGTGTGGCAATCAAGCATTCTGACACATAGCCACACCAGGTCTCGGAACTACATTTCAAATAGACCCTAATGTTTGTGAAAAGTAAACTGTGGTTGCAGTGCTGGCTATTCAGTTTTATAAACATTACATGTGTACTCTTATGATAAAGCCATCACGTCGGGTTAACGTCACTTGTAGTTAGGTGTGCCATGTGCTTAAGTTGATTTAAGTAGCAGTGTCCAGGACTACCATCTTTGCGAGCACCAACGCTTTATGTCAGCTTATCGCTTCTGGTGTTGCTAGCCTAATACAGTGTAGACCAGTTATAACGCAACCGCTTATAGTGCAGAATCGCTTACAATGCGGTCTTTTTCTACTTTCGTTTACCTTCCCATAGAATCCCATGTATACACATACCGCTTATTGTGTAGTCCCCCAAGATGAAAGACCGCTTATAACGCGGTTGCGGGAAATTGTTTGTGACAAACGCTGTAGCGCTGGGTGCTCCACTGGGGAGTGAACGATGAGGTCGTTACGGAAAAGGAGGGGACATGGAGTAAACGAACGAAGGGTGGATGGAAGAAAAGGAAAATAATAAAAAAAAGACCGCTGGACACTGCGCAGGCTCGTTGAGTAAGGGAGTGGGATGGTTGCCTCGGTGACCGATAAGCCTTTGCACCGTCGCCGACGCGGCTACAGCGTACTACGTCCCTAGCGCGGCTTCGGCCGCGCGCCGCTCAGCGTGGCACGTGTGATCCCGTCCTTATTAACTACGTGCACTTAACAGTTTCTTGTCGGGGTAGACGTCGTCGTTATCGCGCTTGCAAGAAATATCGCGTTTGCTTCCTCGTCCGTAAATTGAAAACCTTTTACGGTTTTATCATGCGAGCTTTCACTTTTGCTGCTGTAGGTAAGCTTGCGCTGTCGTAGTAAGCTTGGCGAGTTGTCGAGCGCCGTTTCTGATCCCCCGGCCGCGAACGCGAACTTCATATTACGCACGTAGTTCTTGGTTCACTGTTAGTGCGATCTTTTTGACGCCGAATGTTTTGGACAAGCTTTCCAAGACAACATACCAAACGGCAAGCTACTGTGATGGTTGCGCTTCGATCGGTAGCGGTCACGGGAATATAAGTTGCGCTTTGGTACCGAATCAACGAAACTCTTTGCGGTGGCCGCACGTGAGTGGAAGGGATACATATCGTTAAATGAAAATGAGGGCGGCACGCGTAGCGCTCAAATAGTGGTTCACGATTCGATTGCGCTTACTTAAATCGGGTGCGCGCTCGTGAAATCGAATGGTTGGCGTATTTCAACGCGTCAAATTCTGGACGTATAGTTTTTGCGTAATGCGCATTATCGGGCGGTCTGGTAGTCGGCGAATTTCCGCAATGATGCTTTCATTTGTTAGACCCCCCGCCCCCCTTTTACGTTCATTTCATTAGCAACGCGTGTCTTTTGACGTTAAATTCTTTTAACATTTAGAAAATTAAATGTTAGCAAGCACGCATCGCATGTTTCGATTCTCGGACAGGCGAAGCTGCATGCTCAACATGTTTTGCACAAGTGCGGCCCTTGAAAAAGGTTGTTTTGGTTGTGGTGCGGTGCCCCTTACAGTGCGGATATTCGGGACTCCCGCGACTTACGTTATAACTGGTCTATACTGTACTCATGTTCCTGTTGGCGTCGTTGCGCAAGTGTAAACAACTGGTTATATATAAACATCTGAAATTATTCAACATATGTTTGTGTGTGCAACATTTGTACGTATCTTTAGTGTCATTTCATGACGTCTCGCTCAATAAAATAATTAAAGCATGGTCACTTTCCTTCCTGCATACTTCGCATAATGTTGATTTTCAAGGTATATGGGATCTGCCTATTTTTGTTCAAAGGCATGTGCACAGTAACTGCATCGTTGCTTATCTAGCTCTTATTGTTTCAGATTCCCGAGTTGCAAAATGACATATGTGTGCCAACTTACTGCAGCCTTTCGGAAAAAGAGGAAGTCGAGCCAGACATAAACCTTTGGTTTGGCCCTGAAGGCACTGTTTCTCCCTTGCATCATGATCCCAAAAACAATCTTCTGGCACAAGTGAGAGAGCTGACCATAATTTTTACCTGTTAATGTTGCCAGACTGCACACTCTATACAAACCTAATCGAACCCTTTCAAACCCAATGATATCAGTTGTAATGATGAGTGTTGTTGGTCACTCCGCGACCACTTGCTAACAAAAATGGGTTTTTCTTCAGCTAGAACTCGTATTATCTGCTCTACATATGCTGCCAATCAGATGCACACAAAGTGAGGTCATGTGCAAAAAAAAAAAATACTGAAGCAGTCATGCTATTCCCATAATTCCCTTTGCTAGCTTTTTCGACGGGGAAGTAGGGTATATATTTTTGTTTTGTATCGAAAATTGGAATTTCGCGTCTATTGGGCATTATGCTATCCAACCAACAATTTTTTTAATTAATATATTTGCCCAGAATAGTGCGAAATATTAAATATTACTGAATTGGTAAATAATGTTGTCTCTAATTAGTTTTCATTGGAAGTGTGAGCACAGACTTTTTCACTTTTTTTGGACAGCCATGATCATGCACATTCAAAATCGCATGAACCAGATGCTTACATTCACGAGAAATAATTTGGGCCTGATAACGTTAAAGGACTTTTGGTGGTGGCCGCTTTGCATTGTGTTTATCTTTGCGAGAATGTCAGGAAAGTGGTGCTTTCATGTTCATAGGTTTATGAGAAGTGACAATTATGCCAAGGAAAGTATATAGGTAAAGTTACTAGTAGTACGAACTGTACTGTAAATGCACACATTTACATTACAGTTACTGCTAATAATTTCCTTTATAATTTCTTTGAAATGATTGTTTGTCAGTTCTCATTAATATTGTGTCCAGCAAGAAGCACGAGCTCTTAAATTTTCTCTTGTTTTCATGTTCTTGCGTAGGTGTTTGGAGAGAAGTACATTCGCCTCTATGAAAAATCGCAGACTGGTTTCCTGTATCCTTACGAAGAGAGGCTGCTTGAAAATACAAGCCAGGCAAGTGATTTGATAATAGCATAAATCCTGTTGATAATAGCATAAATCCTCAAGCGCACAGGGATTGAAAGAGAAACTACCGTTTGCCTCAACCGCCGTGCACAAAACCGTGGTGGGGTGATGCAATATAGTGATCAACAAGCTCCGAGGGCACACGGCTAACGTAGCGGTAGATTTAAAGTAGTAAAGATGTAGAAAAAAAGGCTAGACTCGTTTTGAGTTCCTGTCAAAATAATCTAGTAGTGAGCAAAGCTTTGACCCACGCTTTTGCGGCAGCCAGCTGCGCTGTCCTGTCCGTTCACGTTTGTCCCAGGAATACATATACGCAAATTGTTTTGACGGAAATAGATTTTGCTAGTTGTGTTGATCCTTTGAGACTCTCACCTTAGTGGAAACCCTTCCCTCATGTGTTCGGCTACGCCAAGGCACTATAAGACCACAATGCTGATAGTGGCACTTGTGATTGAGGACCCCCATTCCCTCTTGTTTTTCACCATGTTTTTTTTTTTGTGCAAAAAAAAAAGGCAAACGATTCAGTGCAACCCCAATCTGTATCAGTACTTTTGTGGCTTAGTGGTACAACCGATATTTGTCAATTTCATTTTATCTCTAGTGTGGCTTAGTTTATTCTGGGATTTACCCACCACGGCTGCATTTCATGTGGTGCTTTGTCTGTGTTCAGTCTACTATGATTTTTCGAGTCGAGAAGGCAGTCGCACAACCTTCAGTATGGGCATTAAGGTGTATTGCTGTGTTCCGTATTGCAACTTCCGCTCGTGGAAAACACCCTGTGTTTCTTCTCACCACTCACTGCCCAAACAATACTGAGCTGTGCCCCAAGGGGCGGCAGGCACGCCGAGAAGCAAACCGTGCCCACTGCCGTGCGGTCAGGTCAAAAGACCCCGAGGTTTGTAGCGACAAATGGCAGCACTACATGAAGCTGAAGCATGAAATGCAGGCTCTGGTTCAAATGAAGCTAGCCAATGCCAATAGACAGATGTTACAATACCTGCGAGAGGAGGGAAAGTCAATGGCTGCAAAATTGTGAAACAATGTCTGGTCGCTTGATAGAAAAGAATAGCTGGAGCTCCAAATCATGGACAGCGAAACAGGACAGCAGGTTGTAGACCTTAAAGGGTATGTAACGACATATTTAGAGGCCCTGTATAGTCTTGCAAGTGCAAAGGACAGTCCTACAAGCAAGACTCGAAGTGTGCTAACCACTCCGCACCTTTCAAAGACAAACTGGGCTTTCTCACGCAGGAGTGTCGAACGGGCACTATCCCGCCTAGCCTAATTAAGTGCCTATAGGCTCACACTGCAAGGAACAGTGGGCCAGTTTCTTCATCAACATGTTGGATGGCGAGGAGATACCCAAAGAATGACGACTCGGCAGAGTAGTGCTGATTCCCAAGAAAGGAGGCGATGCAAGTCATTTAAGCAATTACAGACCACCAACAGTCACATGCACGCTATACAGAGCCTTCATGCAGGTGATAAAAGGCTGCATCTCTGGGTAGGTGGTGTCCAAAGGTCTCCTCACAGAACTACAGAAAGGCTTCTGAAAGGACAGACGGTCGGAAGGCAACTTCTTCGTGATTACGTAGTGTGCAGAGATTGTCAGGAAAGGAAACCGTGGACTGCTTTGCTGCTTCCTGGATGTGGAGAAACCATATGACAATGTTCCGCATGTCAGTCTCTTTAGCTGCCTGAGAGACCTGGGTCTCCCGGAAACGTTACTGTCAACAATGAAGCAGTTGTACAGCGGTAACACAGTTACGACTTTATTTGCTGGGGTCACTACAGAATCTGTGGACGGTTTCGAGGAGTCTCTGTCAGGGCTGCCCACTATTGCCGATACTATACTAATTTAATTGTATGTGTCCAGATTCGACCGAGCGATAGAGAGGTCTTCTCTTGGCTTCAGCCTGAAATACTGTACTACCGGTATAGACAAAGATCGCAAGATATCGGGGCTAGCGTTTTCAGATGACATTGTTTGAATGACAAAAAATCGAGACATGCAGGCATTGCTCAACATCTGTGCAGCATAAGTCGAAAAGCTGGGGCTTCGCTATAACGCCAAGAAGGCGACTGTAGTACAGCTGGTGGGTGTAACACTGGGAAATGAAGCCCTGACACTGTCTGGACAGGCGCTGGGGGTGGCCTCATTGTACAAGTACATCAGAGTGACGCTGTGTGCAGGAGGTGACATTTATAGGGAACATGAGGAAATAGACGGATGGCCGTGGGCACAGTGTGTTCTCCAGCGCAGAAGCATATGGAGATTAAACAGATATCTCCTGGTTTGCGACATGTGGAAGCTTGTGTATGTGCCGGCACTGACTTTCTGCAAAGCCATTGCCTGCCTGTCTTATGCGGCCAGGGAATGGCTGGAATGACGGCAGCGAGAGGTCGGCCACGCTGCTTTGGGATCGCATGAGGCAGTAGTTATTGTAGGCTGTTCAAGGAGACCATGGGTGGTCCACCTTCGAGGCACGGGAGGTGGCAAACAAACTGATCTACCGTGGCCGCTTGCCTTTTCTGCGGAAAGAACAACTCACCCGACAGGTCTTTGACTACCTCTCAGCGACGTGTATGCGCACCAAGTGGACAAACCGCATATACCGCCTTGAGAAGAAATATGACTTCTTCACGGCACCTATACAGGCGGGCACATGGCAGAAATATGTGAAGGATGTGCGCGACCATGTCCAGGAGAAGCAAGTGGAGCTGTGGCTGCACGGGATGGGGGCAAGAGCTCTGTGACCTTATTTGGACAACACAAGCAGGCTATTGGCACGGTGTCCATATATGACAATAGCCTTGTAAACAACCTGCTCTTTTAGGCGTGAGCTGGTGTCCTGCGCACCATGAAGCGCCAGCGAACTAATGATAGTGATCAGCGGGATGTGTTGTGTAGTCTGTGATTGTGTGGACGAAACAATCGAACACATTCTGGGGCAGTGCAAGGAAATCGAACCCCATTGTAGAAGGACACTCCGTTTCATGGCGTACTGTGTTTCGAGGGTGAACGTGGGAGATGAACAGAGGAGCGCTGACGCGCACCAAGCGGCGCTTGGTAAGATGGAGAATGTTATATGTTCAGAGGCTCGCAAAGTGAACAGACCTCTCCCTCCCTCCTCTCTCTATCTCCTTTTTCTTTTAAAGATTAGGTCGTCTCCCACGTCCTCCTAAATTGTTTAATTTTCTCTCTTTTTTTCCTCTTCCCTTAGCCGGGGTTTTTTATACTTTTTTTATTGCCAAGCCGCCACACATGCGGTGACCTGTTATAAAGGGAACGGCACATCATCATCATCATCACTCTTTCTCCCCTTGCCACTATGACATGCTATGACATACTCATACGACATCAGTGTTTCATTCCTCAAAGCCGAGTGTAACTTATCACCTTTATCGTGTCACCGACGCATTACTACCCTCTCATTATTTCACAAGTTCATTACTCCCCACTTAATCGCTCTCCTTACATAATCCTTGCAGCTCACATATCTCATCGCATCGGCCATGCGCTTCAAGTTTTTCGCCCACGTGCCTGTACTAAAACATTTTCTGCTGCTTTTTTTCCCAGAGCAGCAAAAGACTGGAACGGCCTTTCCCACGATATCGCCACAATCACCTCTCTATCAAGCTTCATGCATAATATTTCAAATGTAACTTCACATTGATCATTGTGACAACACTATCGATTGTATGTTACCCAACCCTTATGTAATACCCTCTTGGCGCTCTTTAAGGAAATATCAATGAAACGAAGTGAAACACGTGCTCATGTCGGGGATGCCTGCTTAGTCGTTGACTGCATGACAATGATGTATCACTGGCGTCGTGTCGCATTGCAGGGGCGCAACAGCTGCGCCAATGGTGCCAATCTGATAAAATTTCCGATTGTTGCACCGAGCTGCGTCAGAACCATGATATTTGCTCAAATTTGCACCACGCTGTGCCAAAATGCCCAGCTAACTTTAAAATTGTCTCAGGTACGCTAATTTCGGCGAGAAATGCCGGCCACGTCGACCACCTGCAGTTTGCGCCATCTGTCAAAGCGCGCAGACCCCAACTATAGTGCCTAGAGTGTACTTCAAATATAAGCAGATAAAGTAACAATTCTGCGTGCCCATCGGTCCGTTGACTGCAGCGTATACCTATCGGCAGGACGATGGAACTTCAAGACAAAAATGCTTTGCTGTAGCCACCCAAAGCTTCGCGGGAAATGAAATTTCCTAGCCTGAAAGCGGCTATGGCTTGTTAGGAACTAAAGCTGGAAGCGTATGTCGCGTTTTCCACGCATGAACAAGCTCGACGTGCTGCGAACACCGGCGTTGCCAGCGACCACATCAATTGCCTTAGCAGTGGCACATAAAACATCTTGTTTTTGTTTTGAAGTTGCGTCGTCCAGGCCATGGGGCTGGCGATAGATATCTCTTGTACCAACGCTGGGCCAATGGGCGCGTGCCGTTGTCTGGTCGAACGCGCTTTGCAAGAGAGCCAAAGTGGCACCTACCCCCCCCCCCCCCCCCAGTAAAAGAATAAAAAAGATGGGAAGGGGGGGAAGGTGTAGTGGTTGGAAAATTTCTTGGTAACCTGCGCAGAGTGTGCTGCTTAAGTTATCTTCGCCGCAGTACACCGTTGCCCAGCGGCAAAGCATATAGATGGCTTGCACCGACATCACTGAAAGCGCTATCTTGGAGCACCAGCATGTGAAGACGGGACATTTTCGATGTCAGACTAATATTTTCGCATTCATCATCTCTTGTAAATAAAGGCATCTCACCGTAACAAGATTAGTGGAGGTGCTGGGTACAGCTGAGCGATACCAGGTGAACGATCACGGAAGGGATACCTCAAGAACTACGCCGAAGCCTCCGACTAGCTGGCCTACCACCGCTCTCAATGGATCCGATTACTGACTGGCGACACCACGCACTCTTCGTCTGGCGCTATGTGGCCCCGACACATGGTACCACGAAGCTTCTCTGGGAGGGTCAAAGAAGACGTTGACGAATGGCTGAAACACTTCAACAGTGTGAGTAAATACAATTGTTGGGATGCGGCCTTCCGGTTGTACAGAACACGTACTTTGAGCGATGCACGACGACCCAACATCTGGCCATATGGGTTTTTCTAGGACATTCTATCGCACGCAAGAACGCTTATTCTGGCCGAAGATGCGTAAAAGTGTGACTGCATACGTTGCGAGCATTGAGCAATGTCAACACCACAAGCGTCCTACAACTCCGCGAGCCGAACTACTTCATCCCATATTACTCCCGGGTTTACCATTTGGCGTCATCGGTGTTGATCTGCTGGGCCCTTTTCCGCGATCAACGAACGGCAACCGATGGATTATTGTGGGCATTGACCACCTTACACGTTGCGCCGAAACTGCGGCGATTCCTGCGCCAACGGGCACTCACATTTCGCAGTTCATGCTGTCGCACATTATATTACGCAATGTATCCCCCGTGTCATTATCAGTGATCGCGGGCGGCAATTTGTTGCCGATGTAGTTGAAGACCTCCTTCGTCTTGCTTCGTGCCATTTTCGTCACACTACCTCGTATCACCCGCAGGCTAAGGGTTTGACGGAATGAACTAATAGGACTCTCGTCAACATGATTTCCATGTATGTTGATTCTGGACACAAAACATGGGACGCGATCTTGCCATTTATAACTTTCGCCTACAACACTGCACAGCATGAAACAACGAGATACAGTCCATTTTACCTGCTCTACGCACACCGATCCCGCACAGCTCTTGACACTATTCTTCCTTTTTCCGAGACTGATAAACCTACTCTCGCCGAAACCATTTGCCGCGCAGAAGAGGCCCGGCGCATCGCCTGTCTTCGAACTTTCGTTTCCCAGAAACGCTCTAAGAACCGTTAGTCAAAAGTCACCGGCACGTATTGTTTTAGAAAGGGGATTTGGTATGGCTATGGACGCCGCTTCGCCAGCGCGGCCTCTGCCAAAAGTTTTTGGCCAACTACACTGGTCCGTCTGTTGTCCTGGAACGTCTCAGCGATGTCACGTACGTAATATCTCAATTTGTCAACTGGCCGCCGCTCAAGCAAGACCAACGCCCGTTCAGGTTGCCCGTTTAAAATGCTATCATCATCGCAACGAAGCCTAACTCGCCCGGTGGGCATCGTCCGCAAAGGGGGAATTGCTACGATACTGAGGGGACACGTGGAAGAAGAGAACGAGGTTGTCACGAGCGGTGATCTGCAAGATCCCTGGACTTTCGCATTCATCATCTCTTGTAAATAAAGGCATCTCACCGTAACAATATTATCAAAACATCACATGCAGGTTTCTTCATTATTCACACACAGAGACGCTCCTACCGCATCGTTTTCACATAAAAGCAACCTGATTGTCATCGAAGCAGTCATCGTGGATCACCAATTCCTTTCAGAAACCGCGTCCGTGACGTCACCAGCAAGCCATCTATTGAAATTTGGAAGGGCCTGTTAGCGCTATTCACGGGACACTGTTCATTTTGCTAGGTTACTCATGAGTTTCTATGCCACATAATTCTGAGTACCAGCATAATAACTGACGCCTAAATAAACTACTGGTAATCATTTCGAACAGTTTATGACATTTGTTTCCCTAAAAAAATTGTGCACCAGTTTTCATTTTTTTGCCAGCCCTACTCCTCGGTTTTATGAACTTTCCCAAATTTAAAAGTTGCGAGTTTGGCAGATCCATGTTTAAATTTGCAGAGTCTGTCAAATGATTTGACAGGCACAGCAAATGCTAATATGGACTTTGTCACTGTTTGCTCAGCGGGGTGGTTCAAAATTCTACTTTCATTGAAATAGCAGTGCTCATGTTTACACTGTTCGATTTAGGTGATGTTGAATGGTTTATACATATTTTTTTTTTCAAAATGTAAACCTTCTTTATACTGCTCCAAATTTGGTATTTCATGATAAAAAATGTATGATTTGTTTCCTAACCTGCTCTAAATTTGGATTTTAATGCTTTAAAAGTAACGTTTTGCTGCTCCTGAAATTGCTCGAAATTGTATTTCGGTTGTTGCACCCCTGGCATTGCCAAAGTGGGCGGAGTCACAGCAACTGGCTACGTCTTCCCCCACCCTATGGCAGAGCGTGAACTAAACTTCACAAAGCATGTAACGACAATACAGTGGACTCTCATTAAACGGAACCTGAAGGAACCAGGAAAATGTGTTCTATTTAACAGGAGTTCCATTTACTGAGAAATGAACTGGGGTGCAGTATGCAGGGATGAAACCAATCTTATCAGAGGCAATTGTTTCATTTATGCAGCAGTTCTATTCAACATATTTTTGTTTACTGAGAGTTCACTGTAAATGTGTAATTGTTGAAAAAGAATTACATTTTTTGAGGAGCATCTCTCTTTAAACACAATTATTTGAATTCAAGATCGAGCCTTGCATATTATTATAGACCATTTTTGTTGTGAATATTTTTTTGACCATTAGAGGAGTCCTGGCATTAAAAAATTACAACACAGCTTGAGTGTTACATCACAGTGATAGTAACATAGAATTGCCATTTGTGCAATATCAGCCCCAAATGCAGCCTAAAATGTATTTTAATTGAGCATTCAAGCTCGTAAAAACATTGAATGTGAAAGTGAAGTAAAAAATAGCGAGGTCATCATGCTGGGGTATGCTTTGTAAAAAACATACGTCATGAGTTTTGGCCAGGTTACTGAAGACTTGTACGAGATAGCCAATGCTAGTAGCGACACCTGATCATGCATCGACTTACCTGTTTACTGACTCAGTGCAAAGTGTCCACAGGGAGATAATCATTAATGTACGGAATTGGGATGATTTTTTTTAACAAGAACAGCAACAGGACTGAAAAAGAAGGTTTGATATATATTGTAGTTAAACAAAATGCCACAGTATGTCTGCTCTACTGCTATTCTCACCTGGGTATGTGCAAAGGTTAACAAACTAAAGCTCTCTTTTGCCAGGATCGTACTGCATAGCAGACAGATAACTACTTAAGCATTCCGCCATAAGTAAATAGGATTAAAGTATGGCTTTACAATGCAGTGTTGACCGATACAAGTCAGTAAAGTATTCATCATGCCACTTTCATGTGACACATACTGCACACTTTTATAGAATGCCATTGTAATTGTCACTGCTTTTTTTGTCACTTCTCAACGTGCTTCTTTACAAATGATCAGAGCGAAAATGTTTCAGCACATCTAATACTGCGGCTGCTCCAACGGGTTCGCGGACATCCTCGCCTCAGTTGCACTATGATGGCCTGAGCAAACCCACAGCTGCCAAAGAGATTTCTGCAGTGAATGATGCTTTTCTGACTGATTTTTGCACTTTTCTCGGTTTCCTTGTCAATTGCTGCACTAGATAAATGTTGCAGTGTGCAACTGAGATAACAAGCACTCGCAGTACTTAACATAGTAGAAGAAACAGCTGTGCTGATGGCTTTTGCAAAAGGTCACCAGTGACGTTGATATTTGTGGTTATGTGATGATATTTGTTCAAGAGCAGGTGGAGTATGTCGCAGGGCCCCTGAGGACTGTTTGAAATTGAAACGCCCTCCAGATGTAACGAACGAGCACATAATTAAACATTCATGTTGTGCTGGGACAAATGAGTTGATTTTCCACAATCAACAAGTCTGGCTGCCAGCCTCTGGTTAAGAGTTAAAAACAGGTTCAGAACTTTTCCTGTCACTACCCTTTTAAAACAAACAACATTGTCAAAGCAGCCAAAAACTTTCATGTAACTTATGTACCTTATTTCATCAGGTCAAATATTTTAATGTTTTTTGAAATAAATTTGAGGAAAGCATCATGTGCTGATTTGGTGTTTGGCTTCCATACAGGTGGACGTCGAGCATCCAAATCATGAAAAGTTCCCGTCGTTTGGAAGAGCAAAGTACACAGAATGTGTGCTGAGACCTGGTGAAATGCTGTTCATTCCTCCAAAGTGTTGGCACTTTGTACGCTCTCTTTCTCCAAGCCTCTCCGTAAGCTTTTGGTGGGAATCATGAACTGTACAGTTAGACGTGCTTATAACGAACCTCCATATAACGAATTCCTTGATATAACGAAGTTTTTCTATTCTCCGTCGCCGCTCCGTAGAAGCATATGTATTTGCGACCTCTATGTAACAAAGCAGCAGCAGAACAACCTTTATACAGTCGAAACCCGCAATAATGAAGCCCCGCAAGTGCGAAATCCCCGCGAAAACGAAATATTTCCGGATTCCTGGCGAACGTTCATAGAAGCCCATGTATAACGTATCTCGCGGCAACGAAATGTTTTTGGACAGCGATCTCGCAATAACGAATTTTCTACCACGGTGCGGGCCTTATTTTACCCTCCCGCCAAAGGTTAACTGTCGAAAATATGCTCGTATGCGTGTTATGCGCCCTCGAAATAACGAATTTGCCTACAGAAAATCTAGGAATTTTGCTCCCCATTTTGTCATTTTGGTACAAGCATGCATCTTCCACCGCCGCTGACCAAGCGCGAAGCGGGCACGCGGGCCGTGTCAGCGTGAGGCGGGCCTGCATCCAGGAGCCTGCATTGCAGCCGATGCAGCCCCCTGCCCCTACTGCGTTGCAGCCCCCGCCCCTACTAAAAAAAAAAAAAAACTACTTTTGCGCGTCGGCAGTGTCACGAATTTAGGTAGCGCCACATATGTGGAGCCCCCCTGCCTTTGGAGGGCGCTTTACTGAATAGTTCTGCACGCTTTCATGCAGAAAGCAACAACGAGAAAGACGAGAAACTCTATGGTGCGCGGTAAATAACGAGACCCACCCGCTGCTGCTTTTTCAGCTTCTTCAAATACGACCTCTGTCTTCACGTTGCGACACTACCTATCTAGCCGCTTACGTTTAGGTGCTCTCGTGATCACCCCCTTAACATGGTGCGAACCAAAATCAGCACGGGAGGGTAAGATAGTTTTGACGAGTATGACGCGTTGTCAAGACATGAATAATGTCACAATCTTGTCCCGCACGTCCAAACACTTGCCGCCAGACAGTGGCACATACCCTGGGGCGGGTATGTGCCGCTGGTATGCGGCGTGTGCCACAGGTGATGGACACTTGGCGTCTACCCAGGAACGACAAGAACACATATGGGAAATTTCAACGCGCGAGCATCATGAAATACCCGACATCGGTAGTGTCACCCCGACGAAGGCAAAGAATAAATTTCAGGGTCACTACTGGAATCGAACCCAAGCATTCCACGTGGCAATGAAGCATTTTACCACACATCTACGCCAGGTCCTGGAACTACTTTTCAAATAAACGGCAATTTTCGTGAAACGTCAATAGTGGTTGCAGTGCTTCCCTACCCAATTTTATGACTATCACATACATACTCCTTTGATACAGCCGTCAGGTCGGGTTAACGTCAATTGTAGTTAGTTGCCATGCGCTGAAGTTGACTTATGTAGCAGTGTCTAGGGCTAGCATCCTAGCGAGCATCAGTGCTTCACATCAGCGTCTGGTGTTGCTAATACGCATGTTCCAGTTGGCATCGTTGCGCAATTGCAAACAACTGGTTATATAAACATCTGCAACTCTTCAGTTTATATCTGTGCGTGCAACATTAGTACATATATTTAGCGTCAATTTATGACGTGTCGCTCTAAAAAAAAATTTCGACATGGTCACCTTGCATCTGCATGCTTCGCATGACGTTGATTCCCAGGTACATGGGATTTGTCGAATTTCTTTAATGCAATAGAAATTATGTTTATGGACAGTCTTGGCTGGTTTTTGCTGCCGCCGCGCCGTCATTCATCGTATATGTATACGTATCTATATATGTGAAAACTCAAGAATAAAAAGCCACCCGCGCTAGGCGCCCAGCTTGTCACGGTGCGCCGACGCGCGCTTATCTCCCACGCGTACTTTGCCCCACGAATGGAAGGGGGTGATGGGGGGTAGATGCGTGTGCGCGGGCGGGCGCTTATCCTTTGGGGGGGAGAATCGCGCACCTTCGACTTCGACCGGAACGATTGCGTGTAGTTGCCGGGTGCATACAGATAACTTCGCTCGCTGGACAAGCGCCGTTTGCGAAATTAGTGCGCTTTTCAAACACACTGAAGTAACAATAGTAACACTTGCTAGTTCGCACTCATTACGTTTAGTGCCTCGTTTTTGTTTAAAAAGTGCACTAAGTGTCGAGTGGTAAACGTTGTTAGTTTGCGGTCGTCCTGTGTGTGTTGTTTTCGTGCGTCATTTGTGCGTGAGCAGCACGCTGCACGTTTCGATACGCTTTCCTGTCCTAAGCGTTACATTCCAAGTAGTTTATCGTATTCATTGCTTCGCCTTTGCGGGCAAAACTGTAACTTTTCCTAATTTCTGGCAGCCGTGTCCTCACCACCGAGAAGATGTCAGATTAGGCGCTGATGGAAACTCTTCGAGATCACGGTGACAACAGATCTTCAGGAGGTCTACTCGTCATGCGCTTTTGTTTTGCGTCGCGCCGCGAGTTCGCAGGCTCGTAGCTTTCGTGATTAGCCGATTAGTTTTGACAACATGGCGGTGCGATTCAATGCAGTGATCATGATAGAAAAATTGTAATATTCTTTAAAAGTAAGGCTGGCAGCCAACTCTTTTTGATCCGATATCGCAGGAACTCCTACAAAACGCTGGTGTGAGCAAATACGGCCGCTCCAGGAGAAGTGCTCTTTTCACACAGTCCCTTCACATTGATATCGCACTGATACTCGCCGATATAGCAAGCGCACCAGTGATTACGACCGCCCTTAAAATCCAAGTTCGTTATTGCTACTCAAGTGATCCCCGCGTTGTTTCATGCTCGTTCAAGACGGGTGGTTTACTTTCTGTTTGAGCATTCGACGGCAGTTCTGACAACACGCGGTGGTTGTTATGCATTTTTCAGGCAATAGAGACTCATCGACTCATTCGATCTTTGCTTCAGCAGTGCTCGCGCGCTTTCACCTACCCGTGAAAGTTACGATGCGCGGGTGCATATATTATCAATATGGACTTCTTACGGAACATGGCGGTGACGGCAAAAACCCGCCGCGGGTGTCCATGTAAAATGTATCGCAATAATAACGCAGCATTTTCCTGTAAAATTAGTGTTTTGGGTTAGCTCTGTCCTCTGTTCTCCGTTTGTTTAATCTGCGTGTTTAATTTCTAAATATTCGTAGCGAACCTGCATATAACAAAATCCTCTTTATAAGAAATTTTCCTGAAAATTTTTTTTCGTTATATCCAGGTTTAACTGCATTAACATTTGTTGTTTGAGCAAGTGCCTCATCGGGTGTCATTGTAAAAAAAAAATAAAGATGTGTTTATAGTATTGGTGTGCTCTGGTGTGAAATGCCATTACAGTGGGAGAAGACAGCAACATAAGTTTGTGAGGAATAGATTGCATTTACGTATATATTTCATTTAATTTTTTTCTATTATACCCCTCAGAGCCAGACGCATTACAGAGTGGAAGTGGTAACAACACTTTCACACAAAAATACAATAAAACAAAAAGTAAGACAAAACACATGAAACAAGGGAACAAAATGTGAACACACAGCGAGTTTAGAAAAAGCCTTTGTATACAATGTTAGCTATGGAATCACGGCACTGTTCATGGTGAATAATGTTGAACAATGTTTGCAACGTCTGCGGGAAGGCCATTCCAATCTCGAGAGGTTCGTGGCAGAAATGAATGATAAAAGTGCGCAGTATTACATGGAGCGAGTCCGACCTTGTGACGATGGTCTGTGCGATGGAATACATAAAATGGCTCAGGGATGGGGTGATCGCGTAGTGTAGCATGATGATGAATTTTATAAAGCTAGGCAATGCGTGACACTTTTCTGTGTGATGGTAATGACAGGAGCAAAAGGTATGAATTCATGGCAGTTACTCTGGCGGTGCAGCTGTAATTAGAGTGAATGAAACGTGCAGAGTTGTTCTAAACCCCTTCTACAGCAGAAATTAAGCAAGCTTGGGTTGGATCCCACACCGGTAGAGCAAACTCGAGTTTCGATCTAATTGGTGTTTTATGAAGAAGAAGATTCAAGTAAGGAGGACCGTGATAAAAATTTCGACAGAGGTAACATAACTTGCAATTAGAATTGTTACTTAAGCGCTCGATATGAGTAGACCAATCCAGGTTTGCTGTGATGTATATACTTTATAAGAAGTCAGTGATTCTAAATTAATGCTGTCAATGTAGTATGGTTGTGGACAGTAGCACTTTTTGGAAATGTGCATCACTTGCCATTTATTAATATTTAGCTGTATTGACCACTTGTTATACAAATTAGCAACTGCACTAAGATCAGATTAGAGTGAGGAAGAATCATTAGCATTCGTTATCTCTTTAAAAGTGACAGTCGTTCGTGAATAGAAGAATGTTGAAGTTTACAATGGAAGGAAGATCATTAATATACTATAAAAATAATAAAGGTCCAAGGACTGAGCCTTGAGGAATGCCTAAATTCACATCTGTAAATGCAGAGTTACAGCCATTAAAGGAAACAAATTGTGAGCAGTTTAGTAGATAACACTCAATCCATTTCAGTAAATTATCAATATGAATATTGTTCACCTTAAGCAGTAGCAATTTATGACATACCTTGTCAAATGCCTTATAAAAATCTATAAATATGCAATTGATGATTAATAATCGCTCTAGAACTTGATGTAGAGCATGAGTAAGGATATGGGCTGAGTTTCACATGAATAATGTTTTCTAAAACCATGTTGTGCTGAAGAGAAGAACGAGCTTGATTCAAGGAAACTGACAAAGTTGGTGAATATAGTGTGATCAAGCATTTTAGAACATGTGCTAGTTAAATAAATGGGACGATAGTTAAAAGATGCTTTGCTGCCAGACTTGGGAATTGGAATAACCTTCCGGATTTTCCACACATTTTGAGGAACGGAATGATCAAGTGATTGCTGAAAAAGTTTGCACAAGACTAACACAGCATAGGCAGAAGTGTTTTTCAAAAACCTTACACCAATATTGCCACATCCGGGTGCTGAATGAAGGCCAAGTTATTAATAAGCTTAAGAAGACCGAATGTACTGATTAGTATAGGTGGCATGGCTTCAAGAGAATGGCTGACGGGTGTCAGCGTATGGACAATCGAGATAGCTGAGAAGTTCTGAGTAAATGTACGGTTAAAAACTTGGGGACAAACATCCAATGAAATGGGGTCACCAGAGGAATCGTCAGCGTGAAAACGTCATTGGTTGAAATAATAATAGTTCGCTAGAAT